TTAATTTTTAGTCTATTAACTATCACCTTGATTTCATTTTAGTCTAGAAACTATGTTTTATTTCTAAGTGGTCTATTAACTTTCAGATTCATTTCAATTTCGTCTACTTGGTCAAAGAAAACGGAAAACTTTCAATTATGTTAGAGAACATTTAGTCCTCTGACTATATTTTTTTTATCTTTTAGTCCTTAAATTTATATTTGTTATAAAAATAGTTTTTTTACTTAAAATTATTATTTATAAGCTCTGAGACCAGATTTTTATACGAGTTTTCCTATTTTTTTAATTTGACATCATAGCCTGAAAGTTAATAGACCACTTAGAAGTAATAATTTTAAGTATAAAAATCTGATATCAAAGCCTAAAAATAATAATTTTAAATATAAAAGCTATTTTTATAACAAATATAAATTTGAGGACTAAAAGATAAAAAAAAATATAGTTAGTGGACTAACTATTCTCTAAAAGAATATGAAGTTTTCCGTTATCTTTAACCAAGTAGACAAAATTGAAATTAAACTGAAAGTTAATAGACTAATTAAAAATAAAACATAGTTTTTAGACTAAAATGAAATCAAGGTGATAGTTAATAGATTAAAAATTGAATTAAGCCGATTAATAATTACAATTTATATATTTCTCTTTAAACAATTGGTTAAGGTACTTAAAAAGATATTTGTATAAGTTAATTTTAAACTAGATAATAACTATTAGATATTAACTATCAACTATAAATTAATAACTACAATTATTAGTTTTTTTAAGGTTGTTAAAATCAAGAGTTTACATAAAATCATTCTAATTAGGTGAAATTAAAATCGTAAAATCAAATTAGTAACATCAAGATTTCACTAAATTTAACATATAATATATAATAAATTATATATAATTAAAATTAAGCAATAATTAACTAGATTTAGAGTTGGAATTGACAAGTTAAAATTTTAATATCTAATAACACACAAACAAAGAAATCTGTTTTAACATCAGTCACTAAACGACTTGCAAATAAGATAAAATGACATAAAAATAGTCATTGTTTAAATTTATAAAGACAAACTAAAATAAATCTAAAATACTAACATCAAGATTAATTTATTTGAAGTCTCTTGAATTCTCTCTCCCTAGTTTTTAATTAAGAATTTCAAATGAGTTTAGGCCATCAAGCTCAAATTCAGTAAAATCTAAGGTGAAATGGTCCAATGGTTACTGAACGTGGCCCAATTATTAAAAAAAGGGGTAAATTCATGAGTTTATCCAATTTTATACGATTTTATGATTTTATTTTAATTTCACCACAAGTTGATAGAATTGCGTTTTTACAAACGATTTTACAAGAATCCTTAACCTAGAATCGTAAACTATTTTACAATTAAAAATGTGATTCTGACAACATTGGTTCTTCTCAAAAGTTAAATCAAATAAAACTAAAAATTTTCTCACAACTTTTCCTCATTGAAATCCGCTTGGCAGGTTTATTTTTTTAAAAATTAATTGTAATGTTAATTTCTTATCAAATATAAAAAAATGTTCATAATTTTAATAAAACTTTATTACAAAATTATCAACCCTTCTCAACATTTTTCGCAACAATGCTTTCATAAAAGTTTTTCTAAGACTTTCTTAAATGGGCCCTTAAAAAATCTACAACTTCATGGTTAGAAGGCAAAATACTTTGTGATGACTCCAAATTTTCGACAAGTATTATAGAATGATTTTTACCTTGATTTAATGCCAAATAAAATTTTTGGATTTTAAGAAAATAAACAAAGATCATTCAAAATCTCTACTTTTGAATAATACCTTAGACATAAGAAAAAGTGAGCATCTAAAATTCTTTCTGTTAATCACCGTTAACAACGTTAATTTTTGGACAAGTCATCCCTTAAATAACTTTGTCAATATAGAAAAATAAGCAAAGTAGTTCTCCAAAAATTTTTCACCAATAAATAAGCCCCTAATAAAATTATATTAGCAAATCCATACTTAGTATGGTTAGGACTCATGTTAATGTAAATACTTGTAATGAGGTAACAAATAATTTCAACTATAAATTATATTTGCCCTTATTTAAAGTCAATGGATTTTAAGAGGCTCAAATCAATAGATTCTACAAAAGGATAATGATTAATAAACCTTTTAATTTAATACACTTTACAATACATTTATTAAAAAATTATTCTTTTTAAATTTGAATTTAAAGTGAGAAAATTTTCAACTGTAAATTTTAAAAACTAAATTGATGGGTGTAGAAGTGTTAAACCAAAAAGTGTGTTAATTATTTTCCTCAAAAAAGTTAACACAAATTCTCTTCATAGCACTCAGAATACATTTTGCAATTTTTTATTCTATGCACATTCTTAAATTTTTACTTCTTTTTGACATATCCATTCAAATTTTTTGCACTTACTTCAACCACTCAAACTATTATAGAACTCGAAATGTTGAGAGAAAATAAAAACAAATGCGACCTTGTTTGGCTAATATTATACTAAGATGCTGGTAAGGTGTTTGTTATAATGGCACAAAGAATTCCCTCATCAACAAAGGGAGTAGCCTTTAGTGGGAAAGTACTTAGATTGTTGCCTGCTTTTGTCATTGATAGATAGGAAATAGACAGAGAGGAAAAGGAAGGGGTAAACTTTTAATTTCATAATTACTAAAAAATTATTAATTATGATCATAATTGCATAATTAATCAACCTACAAAGATCAAATTTATAATTAAGATATCCCATTTATTTTACGTGAAATTTTATTCCCTTTTTAAATATAATAATTTTCTTGTAAATAATAAAGATTTAGATAATGAAATAGTGGCATATGTTTAATTTAAAGTTGGTACTGATTTTCCACCTCATTAAAAGTATCCACATTAGTGTGGCTTCAAATAAAATTAGGGGTGAATTTGCTATTATAGTTTTTTATGGACTTATTTGTCACTAAAAATTACATAAGAGGACTTATTTGCATACCTTTCTTACTTAACAAATTTATTTAACTTAAGGGTATGCTTGGTTTAAGGGGAAGGATACCTTTCATTTCCCTCCCTCTCCTCGAACCAAACATATCCTAAAAATCCATGAAGTGTTTTTAGGTCTCACTTTTGCTTGTTACCACTATTAAGCACAACGTTTAGGAAGACTTGGCTAATAATAGTTCATAAACAAAACTAAATACACGTGTAAACACCACTTTGACTTTAAAAGACTAATATATTGTCCTAGTGTAACTGCACCAAACCAGAAATCCTTCTTCAGTCCGTATCTGCACTCTGGATTGACCTGCAAAGCCCCGAGGTGGATCCTCGGGGTAGACACTCCAATGCTTAAGTCAGCAATAATTGGGGCTACCTTTAAAGCGGAGAAACAAGGAGCTTATGGTTGGTTTCAATTACCTTTTGGCGTGGCCCTTGAGGGGTATTTATATGTTCCCATGAAGAAACCACGTGGCATGCCAAGCAAAATATTC